CTAGTCTAGATTTGTCTAGGTCCTTCTAGACTAGGAAGAAAGTAGTCTAGTCCTTCCCCTACTTTCTTTACACATATATACAGTAATAATCTTGTTATCTGTGTAGTATTCCTTAAAATCTAGTAAGTTGTAGCGCTTATAACTATTAATAACTAGTAGATAGTAGCTGCTAATAGTACGCTCCTTTGTATACGTGTTAAAGTGCTTTAACTAGTTAAGACTAAGTTTATTAGTAGTCTAGCTATTCTTAGAGACCCTAATAACCTAATTATAGGGTAGATTATCCTCTTTATACTAGTTTAAGAGGTAGTTATAGCCCTAGAAGATAATAAAGGGCAGAATAGCCTACCCTTTAGCATTAATGCCCTTAATAACTATTATCTACTCCTAATTGCCTAGCTAGACCTGCTTTAGCTGTCCTTGTCTCTCTAAAGCTATAACAACTGCTCTAGTAGATATCTAGCCTATTATAAAGCCTGTCTTATTAAAGTTGTACATGTTGTTATCCTAGATGCTATACTTGGCTTTAATATTAGCTACTAGGCTAAACTAGCCCTAGATTATCTTAGGATCCTTGCAGAGGGCTCTCTTGTAGTCATACTTGCGATTAAACTTCACTTTAAGCTCTAGTTAGCGCTTAACAAACGTACTAGGCCAGTTTAGGCCAACATGGCCCAGACTGCGCTCAGCGCGCAAAGAATTGGCCATATCAGCCACAGCTGCTAGCTGAGGGGAAAATCCTCGCGCGTCTAGCTTAAGTATATAATTAACAATCACCTGCTCCTTAGTATTGGTTAGGCTCTGTGATTTGGGCATAGAATTAACTCGTGAAGGTCGTCCAGCGCGTTAGTCGCTTAGTGTCTGTAGGGTTGCTCTATAGATAGCTGCAGCGCGCCGTAGAGAGAGAGTCGCCTCTTGTTTAAGAGCTTAAAGCGCAAGCTGTATCTAAGCTTCTTTTAACGCGTCTGACTGGCGTTTGTGGAGAGGCATTGGTGTAGTAAGGGTGTTTTGGTAGGGTCTTGGCAAAAGTGTCCGACTCGCCCCTGTGTCCGACTCGCCCGTGTGTCCGACTCGCCCGTGGGGTACGTTATTCTTGAATAATATTCTTGTATTTTCTAACATTCAGGCTGCTAGAGCCCTAGCAAAGAATCTTAACATAGTGTCTTAGCAAGGAACATTAAGCTTAAAACCTTCTACGCTTAATAACTATTCTATTAATAGGCCTATAATAGTATTTAATAGCTTATTTTAAAGAGGAGACTTAGTAGTATATTAATATAATAAAAGTATAGTTTATTAAGCAGAGCTACTATTATAGCAGGATTAGGAGTTGTTGTGGCTATTATAGCTGTTAGGACTGTTAGAGCTGTTAGCTTGAAATTAGCTAGACATTAAATACATATTAAATAACTATTATAGGCCTATAAGTCCTACTATTGCCTATAGTATAATGCCACAATTTCCTAATTTCGACAACAGAAAAACTTTTCCTGATGTAGGAGAGCTGAAATAGTTCCTTAGCATACACGTGATCTAAGATTGCAGCTAGAAGAAGATCTAGCTAATGCAAGACAGCTTTATTAAAAAGGTAGCAGCTAAATACAACATTGCTTAAGAGAGCACAAAATATCTAGCAGTACTGCTAGTAGAAAGAAATATCAGCCTAAGCAAGGAGGAGCTGGACAAACAGCGCACAAAGCTATATTAGAGTTAGTTAGATTACTAGCCTACATTACAACATACACTTAGCCTAATATTGCGCAAGCCTACTCTAAATTATCTTAATATCTATAGAATCTAGGTTAAAAGCATGTTAGCGCAGCGTACTATGTCTAGAAGTACTTGATTAGCTAGAAGCATTTAGCAATCAGTGCATATAGAGATTAGAGCAGTCGCACAATTGTCAGATAAGAGCGAGCGGCGAGAGGTCGGATCTGCGCAATCGAGCAGGGACCTGTCGTGCAGCCAATCAGCAGTTGCCAGGTCGATTAAGCGAGACCTGGCAACTCCTGATTGGCCCGCACACCGGCGGCCGCGAACAGCGCTAATTCCCCCCCACTTCAATCCTGTAGCAACCAGCACGACGCCACGGCAGAAACACCATCGCCACGATCATCAATATATCATCATACCACCTAAGATCTCGTTAAGCACATACTCTGGCTCACAGTACGAGCATCTGACAACAATATACACAGGCTTAAGCCTAGGGGGTGCTGGAACAGAGCCACTATTCTATAGTGCCTCTGATGCAGCCTTTGCGGACAACCTGCTAACGCGGCGCAGCTCTTAGGGATATCTTTTTATGATGTACGGTATGCCTATTGACTAGAAGGCGACACTCTAACGTTCCGTCACGGAATCAACCACCAAGGCAGAGCTGCTAGCTCTATTAACAGCAGCCAGCAAGCTGCAGGCATAGAATTAACTGTTCAAGCACATTAAGCTTAACCTAGAGATAGTACTAACAATCTTCTGCAATAACCTGTAGATAGTAGGAGTTATTACTAAGCACAAGGATAAGCTATTTATACGTTTGTGTTATGTAGACATCTACTAATATTAGCTTAGGTAGGAGGTAGTAGCTAGATATATATTAGTTTAGTAGAAGCTAACTAACCTTATACTAGCTAATAGACTTACTAAGATCCTTGTACGCTAGAAGTATACTAAATTTATCTAATAGCTTAGATTAAAAGATATTAAGAACTACCTACTAGAGCCTAAAGGACATAATAACCCTAATTTAGCAAGCTTAACTTACTAGTATTAGGATAGTATTAGGCATAGTTATAGGGTAACAATTATAGATATAATATAGAACAGGAATAAGGGAGATTAGCTTTAGTTAGCACCTTAGCTAAGGGGTGTGTAACTACGTAGGTGAAGTTATATAATTTCTTATTATAGAAGGTACTGCCTAGTAGGCAAGTGCACTTACCTTAGAGCTAAGAGCTCTGTACAAAATCATCACAACACAACAACAGATAGCAATACAATTGTTGATCCCAGCCTCCACCTGACACTGCACCAGGCAGTTACATATGTACTATAGTTTGCAACAGACTCTTTAATAAGCCTAAGAGCGCCCTACGTTGCAGGAGAGGCATAAATGCCAATAGAAGCTACAGGATAGTCTAGCTCTTTAGCAGGATCTAACTCTCTAGCCTTGACCATCTCATTTGCTATACACAGCGCCTTTTGCTACGCGCAATCATTTGCCTGTTTTAGAATCTTCTTATTTTTTAATAACTATGCAATTACAGTTGCTAATAAAGTTTTATCTTTTTCTACCTTTTTCTAATACTCTTTACAAGTTTTCTCTAACAACACCTAAGACATATTTACATATAGTTTACTAGATTTTGTGCACTCTACACACTTTAGACAACTAGAACTACCTAGCATAATATAGCACTTTTAGCCTTTAAAGAAACAATAATTGCAGGGAACTTTAGCAGAAGTGTTAGCTTAACAGATTTCTAATGCAAGACAGATGTTGCAGGTATAAGAAGACATCTTAACTTACAGACTACTAAGATGCAGGGGCAATAGATTATATGTAACGCTGAACTTAGGTCACGTAGTTTAAGGACAAACCCTAGAAGGAAAGGGAATAGTGTTACAATCCTTATGCAAAAGAATAGCACCACATAAGTAACTACTAACTAGACCCTAGACTCACTAGCGTGGAGTGGAGAAGCGGCCTCTAGGCCTGTTCACGTAAGCGCTCGTCAACGAGCAGACCACACGTGACTGCTCGTTAACGAGCATGACACGACATTGCTTGTTAACAAGCAAGCACTTACATCTTATTAGACTAACTCTAGTCGCTTGTTAACAAGCACTCTTGTACTGTTAGTATATAGCAAGTAGGAACACAACTCTTATAGTTTGTGTTTAACCTTGTTAATTAAGTTTGTCTTTAGAATCTTAACCTAACCTTTAAGCTAGATAGTCTACTCTATACTACTCATCGTTACCCCCAGTCGTTGTTAGGTGTTTCACCCAGGCGTCTACCCTTACTGTTCTAGAACCATTACTCATCCCCAAGAACCAATAGAATCAGTGCTTACGAGCCTTGCTTAAAGTACGACTTCAACAGCTCTTTATTAAGTGCTAGAAGCCTTACTATTTATATTAGGCTTCTAAGAGATTAATCTGCCTAATAAGGACTCTATATAGAATTAAAGTAACAAGAAAGATGTGTAAAGCAGACACATAGTACTAGCAATTATCTATATTAAGATATAACTTGTACTTAGAAAAGAATTGCGTAAATAATTAGGCACTCTAACAAATAGACTTAATAAGGTAGAGTAATATAAATAACAACAATGGTTTGAATTATACTACTGCAATGCTATAGCTACTATAGGGGATTGGTCCACGCAGGTAGCGCAGTCCATTCTGTGTCAAACTTCTCAATAGCCGCGATGAAATCTCGGTGTTCCTTCTTCTCGACTAATACTGCCGGCGAGTCATTTGTCGCGTCTCTCCACCTGTCCTTCTCCGCCTGCGTGACATACACAGCTTTCATTCTAGGTAACCAAGTATTGACAAGAAGGTTAGTCCTGGCTTGCATCGTGGTATACTTAGCCTTCATGAACCTGTGCCAGTATGTCTTGAGGTCCTGCCTTGTCCATGCCCGGAACCCAGCGGGCGTATGGTTGGGCAGCAGAGTCGTGTCGAGGACGTCAAGTACATCGCCTATACGGTCTGTTTGGGCTACCATGATTCCCTGGATCTTCTGGTGGCTCTGGTAAATACGAGAGCCCATAGTGGCACGCAGACTTGAGAAAATCGTTCTGGCTTTTGAATATGTAGCCATATCTCTAGTCCAAGTGTTATCTGCCCAAGGTTTTTTGTTTCCCCATGGACCAGTCTTGCTAGGCGTATTGATGGCGGATTCGAGGGCGACAAATTCGGATCTCTTGAATGTCTTTGACGGAAACTGCGCCGCAACGTGCATGATGGGATTCCAAAGTGTTCCGGCGCCGCCTTGCGTGGCTACACCGGGCCACGCAAAAGGGGCCACATCCCACAGGGCGTTGACATAGCCACAGAAGGAGACTTGTTGTCCCTGGGGTGCACTCAGATCGGGGTCGGCAAGCTGGCCTCTCGTAGCCTCCAGGTGCTGGAAGAACAGGTCGATCATCTGCGCCTCGAGGACGTGCTCCGTATGATACGAAATGCCCGCGGAGCGTGCCGTCAAGGGACTGCCAAAGTCAAAGTTGCCGCAGTCCTTGGAATCGACCCAGCCCCAATCCTCGCCCTTGAGCTCGCCGCCTGGAGGAAAGTCGTCCTCGATGTAACAAATCCTTTCACATGCACTTACCGGCTTGCTACTTCCCGACCTCTCGGCCAGTATGTGCAGTAGCTCGCTTCCTGCGTGAACGCCATGGCTATGCCCCCGCCGTTGATGAGCATGGAGATGCGCAGCGATGGCGTTTTCATCAATAGTGGACGTCGGTGTCGGAACATCCCTCTTGCGCTTCACATCCTGCCAGATGCCGCCCTGGTTGCTCGCAGCCAGGGCATCGTATGCTTGCTCGCACGTGATACCTTCGTCACTATCGAGAGCAGGGCAGAAGAACTCGCCGGCGGGGATGCTGAATGCTGGACCGTATACAGCACCTCTCTTAGCCAGAGATGACATGTGAGAGCCGATGTGTCTCGTGTGCAGGCTGGCGCCGACATTGGGTATGGATTCCAAATTGCGGGTAGGCTCGGTAACTCCTGATCTCGACGTGTTCCTAGTCACAACTTCGTCTTCAGCGCGGCCATCGATGAGGAGATGGTCGAGACCCCGGCGTCTTCTCTTCGAAGGTACTGGACCAAGGTTGGGACAGGTGCCGCCCTTGATGATGGTCTTTTCCCACGGGTCCGTCAGATTGATCTCGCCACCAGACCAACTAAACTCACCGGGCGCCGTTGCTCTTGCAAACAAACGAGCGCCGACGTCGAGACCGTAGGTAAAGGGGCACGTGCCCGTTGTTGAGATGCCCGCTGCAAACTTAGTCGTGAGCTTGACCTCGCCGACAACTGCAACGGCGGCCGGCTCAACATTCCACTTATCGACAAAGCGAACCCCAAATTCGGCAGCAGCTGACAGCTTAAAGGTGACATCTCCAGAAGCTGTGATACCAGCGTAAAATTCGGGCTTTTTGATGCCTGAGAAGTCGCCCGTGCGATCGAGGCTTGGTTTGCTGTTGTCGATGAGCTCGGGCTTATAAGAATTAGTATCTGGCATGACTTGACGGACTTCCCATTTGGCAATTTCGAGCTTGGTCTCAATCAAGCCAGCCATGCCGAGGGAGGCATCGATGGTGCCTTCGACAGTAAGCTGGGGGCCGATGGTGGCAATTCCGGGAATCTTGAATGATGCACCGGGAAATGGGAGATTGAGAATGACTTTCTTCTTCTCGTACGTCACGCGGGCAAGGGCCTCGAGGGTGACAACACCAGTGACCTTTCCCTTGTTATAGAAGGTCAAGTAGCTCTTGTCGAGGTTGAGCGGCAGAGTAAGACTTTCAACGATAAGGGTGAAGCCGAAGCTGGACTCGACCTCGATGTCGAGGACGGCCTGGCCGAGCAGATGGCCATCGTAGTTGACGCCCTCTACTGATCCGGGGCAGTCCCATGCCTCGTCAAATAACTTTGCCGTGATGCTGTCGTCGTACTTGTGCGTGAACTCACGTTTAATCTCGGGTTTCACGAGGGCCGCCAGCCATTCAAGGATGTCTTTGCCAAACCACCGCGCGTGCAAGTCCCGCGAGGCAATTTTATCGAAGTGGAAGTCGTCGCGAAATTCTTCCTCGAGCCAGCGCACGTGATTCCCACCAACGTCTTGGAGCGTGCGCTTGGCGAGCCTCTTGCGACCTTGAACATCTCGCTTACGGCTCACGGATCCGGCGACGATGTTCTCCCAATAATCTTCTTGGTTGCTGTAATCAATGCGCATCTGGGTGTTGCCAAGACCACGCGGCACTCGGTGGAAATCGTAGTCAAAAGTCAAATCATAGACGACAGGCTCGAGGCTGGCGAGGTGCGACAGACGACGGGGCAGGAGCTTGGCGTGGTCACTGCCAGGGGCCGGTGTCATGCCCTTGGCGACGGCATACTTACCTGGGCCACAGCCCTTGGGCATCTGGAGAATCGTTCCAGGGACGCCATGGCCGAGTCCAATTTTGTGGCAGTTGCTGTCTGGGGTGTGGTCGTTGCAGACCATACGGACAGTATGCTCGCCCTCAGAGACCGAGTCATTGCAGTCAAAGACGTCCCAATGGGATCCGTCACGTTTGTCGAGCGAAACTTGGAGCGCCTCTGGTGAGACAAGGACCACGAATTGGAACGCGGCATCGTTAGGGTCATCGTTGCCGCCGTCCGACGTCTTGTCTGTCTCGAGAGTAAAGTCCGTGTCGGAACCGCCTTCGGGCGGGTGCTCGAAAAGGTTCTTGAGGTCCACGGGCAGGAAGAGGGGCTCACCGTCCGATTCGCAGCAGAAGGTGCGGACGCGGGTTGTGTGGATGCCGCAGGTTTCGCTACCACCAAAGTACGAGTCGGTGATCTGCACCGTTTTCATGTCGGGACAATGGCCATCGAAGCAGTTGCCGGGCTTGCCATACCAGGCGCAGTTTTTCCACTTCTCAACCTCTTTTTCAGGGCAGCAGTATAGCTTCTGGGTGTCAATATCCAGCTCCTCGAGGACCTCCAGCAGAACTAGACCCGTAAGAGCTGCGAGCGGGTGCGTGCGACCAAGAACCCTCAAGATGACTTTGGCCACATCGTCGAGGATGTCGAGAACGGTCCCGGAGAAGGTCAGGGGGAGTTCGCCACTGTGGCATTGTTCGCCAACGCCGCGCCACTTGCAGATGTTCTTCTCACCCAGAGAGCTCTCGCAGCAGTGCGCCATTTGGCCATCCCAGCAGTCCTTGCCGCCGCCATACTTGCTCATGTGCGTCATGACCTCGTCGTCTTTGCAGTAGCCATTGCAAAAATTAGCCTGGGCTCCGCGCCATGTGCAAGATTTGGGGTCGGGGGCTCCCGACAAGGGACAGCAAAGAGTGCTCTTCTGTTTCTTGCCGCACTTCTGGTCCGTGATCTTGATCTCGCCCGACTTGCAGTTCTCAACGCCGCAGCTCGTTACGTAGCACATCTCGTTGGTGCCTGTCCAGTTCTCGTCACTCTTGTCGGTAGACTTGAAGTCGCCTAAGGGCTTGGGATCCAGTACGGCAGACAAAGCAGACATCTCGGCATCGTCCTGGTCGATGGCCCAAATCAGATAGCCTCCGAGTCCAAGCTTGGCTGCGAGATCCTTCTTCTGCTTGAATGTCTCCTTGTCGTCGTATGACACCCACTGATCAGTGTTCCAGGTAATGTACTTGACACCAGCCTCCTTATCATGGACAGGCTTGATCTTGTTGACTTTGATGACTTCCATGATTTCGCGGTAACTCAGGATGCCAGACTCACCACTGCACGCTCCTTTAGTGGCGCCTCCCTTGAAAACACAACCGGGCTTATTGCAGGACGGATCAGCCAGCTGGAACGCGCGACCGTAGAAACCGAGACCCATGTTCAGCTTACTGGCTGGGACGTCATTTCTCCAGAAGAGATCAAATGCCAGGCTCATCTCAGTCAGGTTGGTGTGGCCGTAAATGTGTGAACCGATTGGATTATCACGATCCCAGACCCCGTGAAGGCTGTATTGTATTAGCCAAGATGCAGGTATAAAGGGAATCAGGGCAGTTACGGAAAATTACAGGAAGGGATGAGGAGAGAACCACTTACTCATATGACATGACGTTGACAAAGTCGGTATACTCAATTGACTTGAGGTCAAAGTGGCGCAGATACCAGAAGCTTGTTGGCACCGTGTAAGAAACAATGTACTTGTTGGGCTGCTTCTTGTTCTCCTCATCAAGCTCTTTGAGGAATTGGGTGAAGTTCTCGCCGTCCTCAGGGACACCACCGCGATCGTCCGCACCGGGGTACTCCCAGTCAAAGTCGACACCGTCAAAAGCGTACATTCGAAGGAAGGACATGAGGTTGCCGATGAACTTCGATCGGCTCGCTTTGGTGCTGACCATGTTGCTGAATACCTTTTGCAAAGGCCCCGGGTCGTTGTGTGTCCATCCACCAATGGCAATAACCATCTTGAGGGCGGGATTCTTCTTCTTGAGGTTCGTGAAATCTGTGAATAGCTTGTCGGGCAGGTTGTCCATGCCGACGATCTGGAGATCTGGCTGAATAAAGGCAAAGGAGAAGTACAGATGAGTTAGGGAGTTAACGGGTATGTCTTTCAAGCCCTGTTTTACGATGAGTAGGAGACAATCAATGCTGGGGAGAATAATACTGACCATATCCTGACATTTGGAGTCATGTCTCCATGCCTCGTAGTATCCAATGACACGGTTGAGTTGGTCAGAAGCCTTGTTTTTAGGACCTGGCTGATCGCAGTTGGACTGGCATCCGCCAGTGGCTCCATTGTCCTTTTTGTCGCAGAAGTCCCTGTTTTTCACAACCGTTAAAAATTGTTCGCTCCGCTGGCATCTGGATCTGTACATACTTTGTCATTCCGCAAAACCCCCACTTGCCGCAACAGACATTCAGGGGACACTCTTGACCAGGAATAGCCGCATTCTTGCCACACTCTGCCTTCGCTTCGCAGTTGGACCAGCATACCTCGTTGGGAGAAATGCCAGATGTGCCGCAGGCTCTATAAGAGGGAGAGAAGTCAGCATTCAAGAACAATAGCAGCAGCAAACGCGAGGAAGGATGTCGTCCAACGAGCCACGCGACTGGCACAAGTGAAAGAAGGACTCACTCCTCGCCGTAGTTACACTGGCCAGTCTTCTTGGGACAACAGGCCTTGTTCTTGCAAGGGCGGTCGGGACCGCAGGAATAGTCACCGCCGTCGACTACCTGTCTCCCGAACAGGGAAGAGAACTCTGTACGCCCTACTAAGGAAACGCTATTCTCGAGTGACGCAGGGACGATTTCGCGCCCGTCAGCGTCAATGATACCATTGTCGCCGCGAGCGGCAATATGACCAGAGCTATCAGCACTGCAGACTGGCAGCTCATGGTCACGACGGTTCTTGGCCGAGTAATCAAAGGGTCTACGTGAATTGTATGGCAGGTTAGTACACTAGGCTTTACTAGTCCAGGTTGTAAGATATGGCTGAGGAAAAGTGACTTACGAGACCGGGGCGCGGCACGCACCAGGTAGTTCGGGGACAACAATCGCGCTGGCGCTACCAGGTCTTGCTGTAATCACTCCTCCAAGGGATGGGGTAATGAACGTAGATAGAAGCTGTCACGGTTTTGGAGTCTTTTCTCTTGTACCACGTATCACAGTTTCATATCTCTACTGCTGTACAACGTAGTACACCCTGCCCTTTCCTTTTACACC